CACCAGGTCTGGGACTTGAACCGTGGTTGACTATGTGGGAGTCCAGCAATGTAACCATTATGCCATCTGCTGGTCCCTACAATATGGTTTTCAAAGCATACATTCAGTATGTGATTACCAAATCAAGGATATTGTATACATTCTTTTCTTTTTATTTTATTTTTTATTTATTATCATCTTAATTTTGTTTATATTACATTGAATTGCATATAACTTTACAGTGTATTACATTGCTTTTGCAAAAGGGAATGCCATGCATGTCAGTCAGTACAGAGACATTAAACTCCCCGCTTCAACATTCAATATCTTTTCATTGTTTTTTCCAATCATTATTAGGTTTTTCTATACATTATATTTACACAATGACTGATTTGACCTTTCCAAGAACAGTTGCCGAGGAGGAAGGAAAAGCAACCTGTAATAGTTTCTGGGGCCCATACTGCCTCCTCAGGTCAGCTGTCCCCTCACAGAGCAATGAACTATAAAGTAGGTGTCTTCTTCCCATTCCCACTTGTTATGTTTTAGCTTGAAATATTTCTAAAAATATGGAATGTGTCACGAATCTGCATGTCATCCTTGCGCAGGGGCCATGCAAATCTCTGTAGCGTTCCAATTTTAGTGTATGTGCTGCTGAAGCGAGCACCTCCACTCTTCTCTGGGGGTTGTAGGCATGTATGCACATGCACCCAGAGTGTTTTTCAAGCTGCTGGGTCCAGGACTCAAACTATGCAGTTGGCCCTGTGGGATCCAGGCACTTTAACCACCATGCCACCTGGATGACTCCTTATTTTATTTTATATATTCATGATAGAGCACATGTCTGCACACGTAAGAGAGAGAGAAAGAGAGAGAGAGAGAGAAAGGAGCACCCTCCACCCCTCCACAGAGTCTGGTCACGCTGTGATCCTCTCCCTCCAGTCCTCGAGCCCATTGGATCTTGGGCATTTGTGCATGTGCCTGACACATTGCAGGCCAACCGGGCCGGCGATTCGAACCGTGGTTGCCATGTAGGATCTAGTTTCTCCTGAGCAGTGCATTACCGCTGTGCCTTGGAACCAGGCCATGTTTTGGGAGGAGTTTTTAATTTACAAATTACTTTTCTTTCATAGTTAGAGGGATATTCAAATTCCTTTTTTTTTTTTTTTTGAGAGGTTTTTGCTATAGGGCGCATGCGCTCGCCAGACAGAGAGAGATAGACAGAGAGACAGAAAGTGAGAAATTACCCCCCAGGGGGGATGGCCACACCGCAGTCCCTTCTCCTCCATTCTCCTCTCAGGATCTTGGGCACACACGTACACGTGCCTGGTGTGAGTTTAAGCCACCGGGTCTGGGACGCGAACTGTGGTCGACTACATGGGGGTCCAGTGACATAGCCATTACGCTAACTGCTGGTCTTTCAAATTCCCTTTCATATTGGGTGACTCGTAGTCTGTGTCTTTTGGAAATCTCTAAGTTACTTCGTTTGCCAGTTTGAGTGAAGCGGAGAAGTCTTATCTCTGCTCGTCTGTTTATCCTCCTCCCAGTTCTAATATAATTGTCTTCGACGTTTCCTCTAGAGACATTTCAAGCCATACCAGACAGTATCACAATTTTTCTTCAAGTGTCAAGCATAATGTATAAAAAAACCCAAGAGGATGAGGACGGTCTATTGTATTTACCATCCCTCCCCCCCCCCCCCCGTCGTTTTTTTTTTTGGGATCTTGGGCATGCACGCACACGCGCCCGGCGTGAGTTTTAAGCTACTGGGTCCGGGACGCGAACCGCGGTCAACTACGTGGGAGTCCAGCGACACAGCCATTACGCTAACTGCTGGTCCCACCAAGGTTCCTTCTTGTATCTTTTATCATTTACTTTCTGCTAGTAAACTTCCTTGGCCATTATTTAGAATAGATCTGTGGGCCACAAGCTCTCTTAGTTTCTCTATACCTGAGAATGTCTTGGTTTCTCTTTCATTCCCAAAGGATAGTTTCAGTCTGGGTTGACAGTTCTTTTCTTTCTTTTTTTTTTTTTAATTATTTTATTCAACTTTATTTATCCATTTTTTATTTATTTAATTTGACCAGAGAGGGACAGAGAGAATGAGAGAGAGAGAGGGAAAGTGAGAAAGCAAGCTGCCACGTCTGGGACTCAAACCATGGTCAGTCATGCGGGAGTTCAACATCCTTAACCACCATGCCACCTGCCAGCCCCAGACAATTCTTTTCTTTTAGTACTTGAGAGATATTGTGCCACTTTCCTCTAGTCTCTGTTCCTGATGAGAAATTCTGTTATTTATCTGTTCATTTTTTTTAAAGATTTTTGCCAGAGTCCGTGCACTCACTGGAAAGAGAGAGAGACAGTGAGAAGGAAAGTGAGAAATCAGTCCCCTCCTCCCAGGGGGGTGGGGCGGGGAATGGCCACACCACAATCCCTTCTCCTGGGATTGCTGGAACCACACTCACACACACCCGGTATGATTTTCAAGCTGCCAGGACTCAAACTGTGGTTATCCATCTGGGAGTCCAGGACCTTAACTATAATGCCACTGGCTGGCCCCAAGAAATCCTGTTATTAAATTGTTTTTTCTTTTGTCGTAAAGTGTCATTTTTCTCCTGATGCTTTCAAGATTTTTTTTTCTTTGCCTTTAGTTTTTAGAAATTTGATTGTATGTGTCTTGGTTTTAATTTCTTTGGGATTATCATGTTTGGGGTTCATTCAGCCTCTTAAGTCTAAAGGTTTATGTCTTTTGTCCAATATGGAACATTTTCAGCCATTATTTCTTTGAATATTTTCTCAACTTTGCGTTCTCTGTCCTTTTCTTTCTTTTTCTTTCTTTTTGTTGTTGTTGTTGTTGTTGTTGGAGAGGGTTTTTCTTGCTATAGGGCACATGCGCTCAGCAGAAAGACAGAGAGAGACAGAAAGACAGAAAGCGAGAAATCACCCCCCAGGGGGGATGACCACGCCGCAATCCCTTCTCCTCCATTCTCCTCTCGGGATCTTGGGCACGCACGCACACACGCACATGGGCTCGGCATGAGTTTAAGCCACTGGGCCCAGGACTCGAACCACAGTCGACTACATGGGAGTTCAGCAACATAGCCATTATGCTAACTGCTGGTCCCTCTCTGTCCTTTTCTTTAGGGACTTCAGTGATACCAATGCTGGATCTTTTGTTAAAGTTCTTCTTGTCTCTGAGGTTCTGTGTATTTATTGTTGGCTTTAATTTTTGTTTTGTTTTGTTTTGCTAGAAGGTGAGTGTGATTGCCAGAGAGAGACAGAGAGACAGAGAGAGAAGGATGGGGAGAAAGCACCCCCAATGGTGAGTGGTCATGCTGCAATCCCTTCTCCTCCACCTCTCCCTCCGTTTGGGATTTTGGACATGAATGTGCACACGCCTGGCATGTTTCTCGAGCTGCCAGTTCCAGGATTCAAACTATGCCTGAGCCACAGAGCCAGCCCTATTTTGCTTTTTCAGTCTACTTTCTCTCTGTTGTTCAGGTTGGGTATTTTTTTTTTTTTCTGGGAAAGATGTTTATTTATTTCTTCCATGACCAAAGAGAGACAGAGAGCAAGACAGATTGGCAGAAGGACAGGCATCCCAACAGGGTCTTCACACCACAATCCACCCCTAGCTTCAGCCAGCCCTGGCATGTTTATGGAGGTCTCCGGAGGTGAACCTTTCTGTGTGGGTCAGCCTTGCGCAGCACTGAGTTAACCACTGTCCAGCCCCAGAAGTTAATGATTGCATATAAACAAATTAGAATAATATCCGGCACGGAATTCAACATTAATTCATCATCTCACCTCCTAGGTTGGGTAATTCCTATTATCTCTCTACCAGCTCACTGATTTTTTCCCCCGTCTTCTTCATTTTGCTATTGAGCCTACCCATTGAGCTTTGTATTTCGGTTATTATATTGTTTTAAGTCTAAAATTCCCATTTGATTCTTCTTTGTATCTTCCATTTCTTTGTTGATTCTATTTGTCATTTGTATCCAGCCTGTTTGTAATTGCTCATTGAATTATGTTTATGATGATTGTTCTAAAATCTTTGTCAGATAATTTTTTTAAAGATTGTTCTAAAGTCTTTGTCAGATAATTTTTTTTTTTTTTTTTTTTTTT